CGGTTCAGGCTGCTGGTGGTGGTAGAATGGTGTGGGGGATACTTTCTTGGCACACTTTGGGCCCATTAGTACCAATTGAGCATCATGTCAACGCAACAGCATACCTGAGTATTGTTGCTGACCATGTCCATCTCTTTAACGCATAAAACACTCCATGTCATGAAGCATTAATCATCTCAGACTGGTTTCTTGAACATGACAATGAGTTCACTGTACTCAAAGGGCCTCCACAGTGACCAGATCTCAATCCAATAGAGCACCTTTGTGATGTGGTAGAACAGGAGATTCACACCATGGATTTGCAGCTTAAATCTGCAGCAACTGTGTGATGCTTTTATGTCAATATGGAGCAAAATCTCTGAGAAAGTTTTCCAGTACCTTGTTGAATCTATGCCACGGAAGATTTCAAAGGCAAGAGGGGGTCCAACCCAATACTAGTAACGTGTACCTAATAAAGTGGACAGTGAGTGTAAATAAACATGGCATTTATATTATGTATATCCCCAAAGCCCCCCAAATATTTTTACTACATCTAAAACAATACAAAAATGTGAAAATTTTAACTTAAAAAAAAAAAAAGTATTTCTAGGTAACGTGGTGGCGCAATAGGTAGTGCTGTCACCTTACAGCAAGGAGGTCGCTGGTTCGAGGCTCGGCTGGGTCAGTTGGAATTTCTGTGGAGTTTGCATGTGCTCCCTGCCTTTGCGCGTGTTTGTATGGGTGTAAATGAATGTGTATGGATGTTTCCCAGAGATGGGTTGCAGCTGGAAGGGCATCCGCTGCGTAAAACATGTGCTGGATAAGTTGGCGGAGCCCAGGTTAATAAAGGGACTAAGCCGAAAAGAAAATGAATGAATGAAATTTACTTATAGGCTGTAGAAATGTTGTGGCACCTTTTAAATCTAAAACATTTTACCTGTGAGAGACGACACATTAAATGAATAAAACTGGCAAATAAATCATCATTTCTGTAGCAGTCAAATGTGACATCTACATATTTAAACAATACAGCCAAAATCTTTTACAATTTCTATTTAGAGGCAAAAATACAGCCATTAAACAGCTGTTTCTCTGCCCCTTTTTCATATTTATACTTCAATATCTACTATAAAACAGCTCCTCTGTGTTTATGTTTTTACTCATAGACGTCTGACCTCTACATACGGAACACAGAAAATGAACAGAGCCACACCAACCTATTACATTATTAGTGTTGGAAGGTGTTGTTTACCAGCAAAAACAACCTTCTGCAGAAAGTTTGCTTTGCTAAAGCTGTTTTGAACTCACTTTAAGTATATCATAGAATTGTTACTCACTATAGCAGAGGTTCTCAAACTGGGGGTCAAGGGGTCTGGAGAGTGATTCTAATATTGTGATTAGAATTAGAATTAGAATTTTCTGTGATTATAATATATATTGTTTAGTATTACAAGTGAAAGCTACAAATAATTTTTTTCAGATTTTTTTAAAGATAGTACTGATTAGAAAGTTAAAAAAAAAAGGAAATCGAACATCATTACTGTGCAGCGTCTAACTCGCGAGTTATCACTACAGTGCACATCTGGATGTGAAAACAACAACTGCAGATATGGATAAATATGTAATTCACAAATCTAAAAATGTTGAGGAAACTGTGGACAGTCTGCCCGAGTCATCGGAACCGTCTACTTTATCCAAGCATAACATCAAGATCCCGTCAGAATTAGGAATGCCAGAAATATCAAGATGAATTCATAAAGTAAAGATCCACTTGCTCTACTGTCAACAGTACACCCATCCTATTTAAAGGTAAGCAAAATTATTTTAATGTATAGTAAATATAGTTAAAATACTGCAAACAGCTTAAAATAAATTATTATTGTTAATTATTATTAATAATTATTATTGTTTGTATATGTTTTTGTAGTTTTTTTTTTTGGGGGGGGGGGGTCGCAAGTTCTTGATAATCTTACATTGAGAACCACTGCACTAAAGGGATGTGTTACCATTACACCCAAAAAAAATATACAGTACATATATTTTGGTAAATTGTTGACTTCTGTAAGTTCAGCCAGATCTTCCATATTAATTTTTTACAGTTTCACACAAGATTTTTCCACCGAGGTCTGCTGATTCCCAGAGACACAAACAACAGATGCCGAGAGCAGACAGGTGTGAAAGAAAATCTACAACATTAGCCATCCATCAAAAGACACAGGGGACAGTGTGAGAAATGTGTGTTGTGATTTATATAATCTTTCGTGTATGACCTTCTGGAGGTCTAAAGATGACAAGACACATTATATCACACAGGGTAATGTTTCCCTGTGCCGCTGCTGTTGGATGATGCGAGATTTTATTGGAATGTATGTGGAGGAACAGTTGAGCAGGAAATGTGTATCAGAAACCTGAGTCCAGAGAACGTGTTTGAGTGTTTTCATATAAGAACTTACGAGTCACACAAAAACTGCACTTATCCTAAATTTAGTCGTAACATCTGACTATTATATCAGCGTTTCAGCCTTGTTGAGCTGGATTTTTTGCACAGTTTTAATGAAGCGAATCTTAATGAGGTATGTTTTATTAATATAACTGAACAAAATTGGGATTTGCAGAGTCTTGAATGTAACATAAATGCACAAACTATTGCTTTACACACTCACTATTCTACGGTGTCATAACAGTGGAATGAAATGACAATTATTTTGGCATATGCTTTATGCTTTGGATGCCCTTCCAGCAACAATTATCGTTTTAGTCTGACTAAAATCAAAATTTTTAAAGTGCATGTAAGTGCAAGATACATGTAAGAACCTGCAAGCACCAATTAGCACGCCTTTATATAATATTAGGAACATTAGTTTATGCATGCCCAGGATTGACAGATTCCCAAGGGACTGAGACATTGAAATGTGTTTTGCCTGCTGTTAAAGCCAAAGGGAGTTTCCTACAGTAGGGTGAGGCCAATGAGCGTGAGTCAGATTTATTTCAGACTTAACACTTTAGTTAGTTCAACCAACTAAACAGTTTGTCAGCAGTTACACACCATTGTGTAATTCCAAACTATATGACTGCAAAACAATGCAGAAGTCCAGCGGATTACAACAAGAATCAATGTTAGCTTCATCTTTTTGATAAGCTTTAGTGTCATAGTTTTTTCATTAACATTATTGCATGCTGATGAAGTATGATATTTCATTTTCATCTCATCTTAGTCCTGGACAAAAAGGTCATCAACGAAAAGTTTTGCACTTTTTTCAATGATGAGATTTTCACTGATGTGGACCATGATCTGATGCGGGTGATATAGGAAAACAAAGTAATCTTTTCAGTCTTTTTGATGCAAAAAAATTGTCCATGGAGCTTTGTATGATTACAGTCAAAGACACATTAATGTTTCATTTTTAGTTCCTTTTCTGGACATTGACTGTTTCATTAGTCATGGCCCATGTTGGGTGTAACGGATTACTAAGTACTGTAGTGCTTTACTGTAATTAATTGACTTTTTAGGTGCAAAATTAAAGTAAGAGATTACTGTTAATTTAAAAAAAAAAAATCTATTGTCGACATGATTTAAAAAACAATATAACCCACTGGTGTGACAAATTAATACTTATTGCTGCATAATCTATTATTATTATTATTATTATTATTAATATTATTATTATTATAAAATCTTAAATTTTATTGTAAATTAATCTTGTTAAATTTGATCTTAAATGTATTATTTAAATTATTAAAAGGTTCAGCTACTATCTATCCAGTTGAGATTAAAGGGATTTTTAAAAAGTAATTAGCTAAGTTACTTATTGAGAAATTAAAACACTTTTCAGGTAATTAGAGTAATTATAAAATATTTTAAATACTACACTGATAATGTAATTAGTAATCAATACATTTTTAAAGTAACTTACCCAACAATGTTCATTACCAATTCTGTCTAAGGAGGATTGTCACACAACCAGCGATCGCTTTCCAGAGATCGCTGGTTCTCACACGAACTCTCAAAACTACATTTCCGCATTTCCCAGGACTACATTTTCATACATGCACTGCTCCCAAACACGCACGCCTGTTCATTCATCTATCCTGATTGCAATCACCAGCTGAACCTTGTCACAGACTGATATCACTCCATTCTTAAGCCACTCTTTCACCCTTCCAGTGTGCCGAGTCTTGTTTGCATCTTTGTGACATTACAACGCGTTTCCCTGTCTTGTTTCCCCGTGTTAGACCTTAGCCTTGTCACCCTTGTTCTCTAGTTTAGCCGCCAGCCTTTCGACCTTTTGCCTGTTTATCGTTTATGATTCTGGACTGTCTATAGATACCCGTTTGCACCTGATGACCACTGCTTGCCTGACATTGAATAAACCTGCATATTGGATCTTACCTTCTGTTGTGAGTGTCACTCCCCCCAGGCGTTACAGAGGATAAGGGAGCTCTCAGATTTAATCTAAAATAAACTTACTTTGTGTTCTAATGATGAACGAATGTCTCATGGATTGGAATGACATGAAGGTGAGTAATCAATAGGACCGGACATTTTTTGCTATTTATGCACAGAATTTTGTAAAAAATCTGTGAATTTATGCGGAATAGTTTTGGGAGTATTGTAACTAAAATGAAATAAAATATGAAGTAAAAATAATACCTTTTTTACTTTAATTTAATGTTCACCACGCAAATCTTATTAGATCCACTTATTTGGTAAACAAAGCAAGCCTCTCATATAGTGTATATACTAAACGATGAAAATATTACCTTACATACTTTATTGTAAATAAATCATATGAACATTTTTATATTAGTGAACGATATTACTGAAATTAGTTTCAAAACTGAATAAATATTAATTTACACACATTTACACAGGTAAATACATAAAAACTCAATCTGCAGATTTTTGCACATGCAGATTTTGTGTGGGCCTAGTAATCAATTACAGAATAAGCACAAAAGAGGGACAAAAGTGAACTTGTGTTTTTTGGGTGACTATAAGCAATTGAAGAACATGCATTTACCTTTCTCCCTGCTGAAACCCTGGAAGACAGCTGGTGGAGCAGATGTTTTCTCTGAGCCCCTGCGGGCTTGACTGGACCGTCTCCTTTCTTTCTTGTGCACCTCCCCGGCAGGATGCTCTACCTTCAGCTCTGGAAGGCCTGGACTTAGAATTGTGCTGTGTTTAGGCTTCTCTTCCATGGTGGACATCTTTTCTTTAGAGGCACTGGTTGGGGCCAGAATGGTCGTAGAAGGTGTAGTGGAAGTAACAAATGGTTCTTTAGTTGCAGAAGTTGGGGATGTGGGTTTTTTGACTGCCTGTGGAATCTCCTTGTAGCGCTTTGAGGATCCGTGGGTTAATCTTTTTGGACTTTCCTCTCCACAGGACTCCAGAGCCAGTTCACTGTCCAGCTCTGCTTCACGCTCCTCCCTCAAGATGCTATACTGCAAGGCGAGGCTCTTGGGAATGGCAGTGGTAGAAGATGGGACAGGTGCTGTGGAAGCAACTATGGTTGGTAGAGCAGTGGCAGGAGTCTTACTGAAGCTCATGTAGCCAGAGCTGGGAGCTCGTGGACTTGGTTCTTCAGACACCAGCTCAATCTCAGAGTCACCAGATTCGGCGCTGTTACCCTCAAAACCCTGGGAAGTAGGGGGCAAGGTGGATTTAGGGGCAGACATATTTTCTACTGGGGAACTGTCTTTCTTTGAGGCAGGTTGAGCCGGTGGGATTGTTGAAGCTTGAGTGCTGTCTGGGATGGAGTTCATTATTTCAGTTTCACCAGCCTGGATGTTTGGATCCATTGGAGATTCAGAGTCTTCTATTAAGAAAAAAGGGAAATATTTAGGAGTGTTTCTAAAATGCTTGTGGCCATCTGCTCTATCATGGCAGTGTAATTCAATCTGTGATTTTACACTACAAATTGTAGCATAAAGTCATTATGTCCGGTGTTCCTGCAACTATGTGCGCATACAGTAGTTAAGTGTTTTTCACTTTTTTAATGGAGAGGGCAATGGAGAACAGTGATGCATTGAGAGAAAAGAAGGGATGGATAGGCAAAGAACCATGAGCCGGGATTTAAAACTAGCTTTGCATGAAGTTCATGAACACCTCAGTGCTGTGTCTGTCAACACATACTAGTATCAACACACTAGGCTTTTAGGCCAATGGTCTTAAACTCAATACCAGGAAGGCCACGCCTCTGCATAGCCTAGCCCCAACCACCTCCAACTCATACCTGCTTAATAGTCTCTAGTAGTCTTGAACACCTTGATTGGTTGGATCAGCTAGCTGTGTTTGATTAGAGATGGAGCAAAACTGTGCAGAGCTGCGGCCCACCAGGAATCAAGTTTGAGACCTATGCTATAGGCCAGGGGTCACCAATCTGGGTCCTGAAGGACCTGTGTCCCTGCAGGGTTTAGCTCCAACTTGTCTCAACACACCTGCCTGGATGTTTCAAGTATACCTAGTAAGATCTTGATTCGCTTGTTTAGGTGGTTGGTTAGGGTTAGGGTTGGAGCTAAAATCTTAAGACACTAGCCCTCCAGGAACAAGTTTGATGACCACTGCTAAAGGCACTGATGAACAAAATGATTTACAAAGAACAGGAAAATCCGCTCATTCTTAATGAACTAAAGCTGTTTAATTTCAAATGTTTATTTTGAAGACCTCATCAAGATGGGGCATGGATGGCCGCCTCAGTGTGGAACTTCCCAGTGTTTGTCGGCCCATCACTGCTCAAGTACAAACTGACCCAACTCTCTGTTCCTAGCTCTGTCTGTCAATGGATCACCAGCTTTCTGACAGATAGACAACATCTGACAGATGGGCAAAATCACATCCCATAGCCACACTATCAGCACTGGTGCCCCTCAGGGATGTGTTCTCTCCCCACTCCTCCTCTCCTTGTACACCAACGACTGCACCGCAAAAGACCCCTCCACCAAGCTCCTGAGGTTTGCAGACGACACTACTTTTATCGGCCTCAACCGGAATGGTGATCAGTCTGCATACAGACAGAAGGTGGAGTGGCTGGCATTATGGTGCAGATACAATCTTGAGCTGAACACGCTCAAAACAGAGGAGATGATAGTGGACTTTAGTAAATACCCCCCTGCACTTCCTCCACTCACCATCATGAACAGCACTGTGGCTTAAGTAGAGTCATTCAGGTTCCTGGGCACCACCATCTCTCAGGATCTGAAGTGGGACATTCACATAGATTCCATTCTGAAGAAAGCCCAGCACAGACTGCACTTCCTTCGTCAGCTGAGGAAGTTTAACCTGCCACAGGAGCTGCTCTTACAATTCTACTCAGCTGTCATCCAATCCATCCTCTGCATCCACTGCCAAAACCGAATTCCGTAGACTACAGCGAATAGTCCAAACAGCTGAACGAATCACTGGCACTACCCTTCCTACACTTTAGGAACTGTTCTCTTCCAGAGTGAGTAAAAGGGCTCACAAAATCACTTTGGATGCCTCGCACCCAGCACACTACCTGTTCGAACTGTTACCGTCTGGTCGATGCTTCAGAGCACCAAGCTCAGAAACAGCCAGACACAGGAAAGGTTTCTTTCCTCAGGCCATCTACCTCATGAACAGTTAAATATCCCCCAACTGTGCAATAAATATGTGCAATACTTTCTCATACGCACTTGTACACAGCACCTTATATCAATTTACAATTCAATACTTTCTCCATACGCATTTGTACACAGCACCTTATAAACTGTATATTTATAACAAATCTGTACATACAATTGAACATCCAAATTTCTTGACTAAGTGCATCTCTGTTTAATGTTTATCGTCTTTTTTCCATATTTATTTTGTGTTGTCACTTGTCACTTTATGTACAATGGAAGCTTCTGTAGCCAAAACAAATTCCTTGTGTGTGTGTGAAGCACACATGGCAATAAAACTGATTCTGATTCTGAAAAAGACACATGGCTTACGCATGCAAATAGGTAGTGACACAAGTGCGATGCCACAAACTCTCTTTTTCCAGGCGCACCTACAGAGCAGTGAGTTAAAAATATCTCAACTTTCTTTTTATTAAACTACAAAAATGCAAACCAACCAAGGCAAATAAGCAGCATGCAAAACTAGATCTTGCCTTTCAGCATGGCAGAGCTCAGGGATCTTCAGTTCAAAAAGGCTAATCCTACTTGCCCTTCACACAGGTGAACGGGCTTGACAAACCACAGTTAGAACACATTTTCTTTTCTTTGTATGCTTCTATCTCCTATTTTAAGATGAATGTGTGTATGAGCTGTGAATCTGAGTGGCAGTGAGCAGGGTTTGGGTCCCTTCGTCACTACTTGTAGCTTTGATAATCATTGGGCCTTACATAGATTTGCTAGCAAGAAAAACTACCTTTCCAAACAAGCTTAAAAATGTTTTTGCTACTTTCCAAGAAGATAAGCAAGGTCACTGGTTTGAATCCCGAAAGGGCCAGGTGGAACTCCTGTGTGCAGTTTGCTTGTTGTCCCCATGTTTTGGTGGGTTTCCTTCGGGTGCTCTGTTTCTCCCACAGTTCAAAGACATGCACTATAGGTATTTTTCTAATTTAGAAAAATAGGTAAACTAAACTGGTCATAGTGAATAAATGTGTGTATGAGAGAGTGTATGATTGTTTACCAGTGCTGGGTGCCAAAAAAAAACAGAGTAATTGGCAGTTCATGTTGCTGTGGCAACCTCTGATAGATCTGAAGGATAGAGGATGACTAAGTGATTGATCGATTTGTGGTGTTTATGTGTTAACAGATTGACAAATAAAGCAATACAGGAGCATGTGGTCAGTCAGTAAAAGAATTTAAGAGTGCAGGGGTGTCAAACTCAGATCCTGGAGGGTCGCAGCCGTACAGAGTTTTGTTCACACTTACCTGTAGGTTTCAAAAAAGCCTGAAGGACTGAATTAGTTTGAGCAGATATGTTCAATTAGGGTTAAAGCTAAACTGTACTGTGGCCCTCCAGGAACTGAGCTTGATACCTGTGGTAGTGCATGCACTACTGTAGAATAGTGACGCTCACCTGTAGGGGGTGTAGATGACTCAGGGCTGTCATCCTCCGGCTCTGAGAGGGTTACAGTAGGCATTCCCTCCAGTCCCAGACTCAGGATACTCTCTTTCTGGGAAACTGTAACTGTGGGGCTGTGCTGGATTGTAGTCGGTGATACAGATGTGGGTGGTATTTCTGTCAAGGTGATCCTCACCGGGCTGGCACTGCTACCGGTACCTGGAGATCGATAGGGTTGATAGTCAGAGAGCTCTTCATCAGATGGTTCCTCCACATACGGGAAGGTCTGAGTGTCCAGAAGTCCTGCAGAGCCAAGTTCATCTGCATCTACTTCGACCGGTGATGGGCTCTTCTCCAGTTTGGTGTACAGGGAGGGCTCTGAGAGGCCACTCATACTCCAGTCCTCCAGGGGACGCTGTGAGCTCCTCGAGTCGTCTTTACCACTGATGTCCATGTAGTTATAAGAAGAGCCGAAAGCTCTCTCTGTGCTGTGAGAGCTGTCAATTTGGTCTGTGCTGGTTTTTATCTTGTTGCTGGAATCTGAGCTGAAGGTGACAGAATAGGATCCAGAGATGAAGTCATCAGTGTGGGTTGTATGTTTGTCAGCAGATTTGCTCAGGCTGCCAGAAAAGTAAGAGGTGTCTTCATGAGAGGAATAGTGTTGATTGGACAAGAGGGAGGTGTACAGGTCATCCCTGTCATCACTGGACTTCTGAATGCTTGAAGTTGATTTATCTGCATGAGAGAATATCAGCAAAAATTTATTTGAACTTGCCTAAAGCAAAAACATAAGTACAATAACTCTTGTAAAAATTATTGTTGCTATACTGACACACATCAGGTCAGCACGAAAAAAGCCCAAATTCACAAACTTTAAATTTATCCATAAGAACTGACACACATCAAACAACTAGTGAAAGATTCCTTTGTCACCATGCGGTCCCAACTGAATGATCAAATACACAGAATCCTTTCACATGTCACAAATCTGATACATTCATAATAAAGACTATGTGAGTTATTTTTGGATTTGATTATGGCATTTGTGAATATATATTTTTTAATTTCAGGTAAATATATATAAAATGTTTTTATTCATTGTTCCAGGGTTTGCATTTTTGCATCTGTGGTATTTTAAACATGAAAAATGACATACAACTATACCAACATAGGCTTATTCTAAAAAATGTAACCCTATATACTTTTCTGGGGATCGCAAATTATGTAGCCAGAGCATTTCGGATTTAAAACGAACGCTACAGGGTGATATGACACCGTTCCTTTTCTTGCTACCTGCATGTGGACGGCTTTACTGCTGTTACCAGCTTGACCGGTAGCTTAACGCATACGTCAGCAGACTTGAGATGCAGAGTGAAGTTGACCATGACAACGGGTACTTAGTCCGATGAAGAACAGTCCCTGAAGGCAGGTAAGACAAAAACTGAAGCCAATAAAATAAAATAAAATAATATAAACAAATAAATAACAGGGTGAGAATGAGGTAAAATCTGAAAATGTGGTAAAAAAATCAGACAAGGGCTTTTCTTTTTCTGAAAAGCTTTTCTAAACACTGCAACTAGGTTTAGGGAAGGGTGTGGGCAGTTCAATCGGCACTTTTTGAAATATTATTGGTTGGGTTTAGGGAAGTGGGTGGGTGGGTCAATCTGTGGTTTTGAAAACACTATTGGTTGGGTTTAGGGAAGGGGGAGTGTGGGGGGATTAGTCGGTTGGTTAGTCAGTCAGTTAGTCAGCCGACAGCAGCCTCTGGTGGATTTACTAAACAGGAGGCTCGAATGGCACTCACGAGAGAAATGTGAGATCTGAAAAAGAGTACACAGTGGCCTCCAGCAGATTCGCGAAAAACAAAAGCTGCAAACAAACGTAGCTCCTGGGACATATTTTGCTCTCTCCAAAAATGTATATAGGGGTACGTAATCGGAATGAGCCTGGGTTGAACTATACTGTGCATATTAATATACAGTTAAAGTCAGAATTATTAGACCCCTTTGGATTTTTTTCCTTTTTTTAATATTTCCCAAATGATGTTTGACAGAGCAAGGATATTTTTTCTTCTGGAGAAAGTCTTATTTGTTTTATTTCGGCTAAAATAAAACCAGTTTTTAATTGTTCAAAAAAAATATTGGCCCCTTTAAGCTTTATATATTTTTCAATAGTCTACAAAACAAACCATCGTTATACAATAACTTGCCTAATTACTCTAACCTGCCTAGTTAGCTTAATTAACCTAGTTAAGCCTTTAAATGTCATCAGTTATTAGAAATGAGTTCTTATGTTTAGAAATGTGTGGAAAAAAAACTTTTCTCCGTTAAACAGAAATTCCGACTTCAACTGTAACTATAATGAAACTATTACAAATCTATTACATAATTGTTTTATAATCCAATCATTGCCCTCTTAATTAAATTGTGAGGCAAGTAAAGTTCTGCACCTCTAGAAAGTTTTCAATGTAAACAAAAACTAAGAAGGAAATCAATGCAATTTTTTTTTTGCAAATTCTAAATTTCTGCAAATGCAGATTCAATAAAATATAATTTACCCTACAATCTTTTTTTTCAATCACCACAGACATGCTGATAATTTTTTTGTCTTTTTATTTATAAAATCATACCTTCATGTATATCATATTACTTGTCTAAAATACAAATGTTCTATTTCAAAATGTTTCAACTCCTACTAACATGATTATTAAACATCACTGCAGAGCTGATTACATTTGTGGAATTATATAGTAAAATAAATGCATCTTAAATAAGAGCTGTGCACAAGAGTGTCACTTTCACCTTGTCTGTAACTGCATGCGCCTCACAAAGCTTCTTGCATCATGTGACCTTGGGGAAATTTGACTGTGTATATGTGTTGTTTGTGAAATTGAGACATTAGAAACGCTGTACGTTTTAAGTGGTCATTTTGCTAAAGTGTCCTCCTGAGGGCTTTACTGTAGTGTGTCTCATCAGCAGTCAGTGAGGGTCCCGTCACACCCCCATACACATCAATTCACCTTGTCTCCTTCTCGTTACATAGTCTGCTCCTGTCTGCCTTTCTGTCCTTCACTCTATTATTGTTGCTATTTGTGGCAGATGACAGTTTTCCAGTTCAATTTTTACTGAAGGTCGACTGCAGTGGTTTCACATAAGGGCTCCAGAAGCACAAACTCACACACACACAAACACACTGACATTCACACACACACTGTGAGATTTCACCCAGGGATCTGAAAATGAGCAGATCTATGGTGACACCAATGCCTCAGTCTACAAAACAATAAGCAACACACACTGCTAAAAACTGGAGGATGTTTAAGTTTGAGTGTAAAAACAGCATTAAAATGTACAAAATAACCTACCACAGTTTAAAGTAAAGAAACCAGGGTAAGAAATTATTCAGGCTTCAGGCAAATACATGCTGAAAGTGATTAACATACCTTACTTTAAATGTGTAAGCAGAAATAGCCTCTATAGATATGGGTTGAGTCATTTAGCAAATAAAACAGTCTGTCAGATTTAGCTGATTCGAATGTTATCAATCAATTAAATGGGCATTATGTGGTTATCAGCTGATAGATATGGGCCAGTAGCCTTCTGCGCCTACTAGTTCACTGATGACAGCCATTCAATCGAGTGATAACATTCGAAGCGGGTGTCAGATTTCGGAATTGCATTTTAGTTGTCATGTTTATTCTAGATTAATTTTTTTAAACGTTTCGTTGGACTTTACATGGTATATTTTTGACATCAGGATCAGGTGTGTTTCCCTCCAAACTACAGATGTGTAACAGTGGATAATCTCATGACTTGTGTTAACGTGACCCCGCTCCATCAGAGAGCCTGTGCCTCTGTCTCTGTGCTGCCCTACATTCACTGGGCAAACTGACTCCACAGGGAATCTATTTTTAACCATCGGTATCTAAGAAGTGTGAGGATCTATGAAAAAGTGTAGTGTGAGAAGACAGCCCATGAATTTTCAAAAACAACCAATATCAACATACACTCTTCTTAATCTCATTGGTGACCAGCACAATAACCAAACTGTACCTGCAGACTGTACCTGCAGACCACAGCGATGGTCACAGAAACATTTTAGAATGTGAGGGATGATGCTTGTTCACACCACACAGTCCCCAGCCCACACCTCTCATCTTTAACATTTAACCATGACTCATCCTCTCCTAAACACATTGATAGCAAAAGCACATGATATTCTTCAGTACTGAACCTTCATTTAGAGGTATTCTACCTGCACACTTATAATATTGCTTGCATTTTGAAAAACAGGAATAAATCATGTGTTGGTCCAAATGAACACTATTAAAGATTTCTCCCATTTATATAATAAATAATTGATAGTTAAATGGAAAATTAATGAAAGTTAAAAGTAAAAAAAAAAGTTTAAATGGAAAAACTTAATGAAAAAGATTGTCATAATTTGCTTACCCTCTAATAGGGTATACTGCATGCAGAGCTAGTGTTTCTTCCCATACTGATAAACTTCAGATGAACAGTTAATGTGACGTTTTAAATTTTAGACGGTTCCTTTTACTGCATCGATGCTGTAATGTAATTAAAATACAATCAGTTAAATAGACTTCAGCGTTCATTTAGTTATTGAAGCATAAACTGAGATACAAAAAAATATATATATTTAAATGCACGCACCTGTCAGGATCACCAGACAAGCTCAGAAACGCAATTGAAAATACTGGAGTAAAATAAATTTGAATAATTTAAAGATATGGCACGGAAAAATGGTATTTAATCCAGTGCTTCTTTACATTCTGAGACCCACTTTATAGCGTATATCATTTAGGCAGTGAATTTTTTTTTTTTTTTTAAGAAAACAGACCTTAAACGTGCCAAATTTGTAACGGCATACAGTTCACCGGAAGCGTTTGACCCTGGTTACTGACAAATTAAAAGTCCTTCTGTGTGCTTCTACATATACCCTATTGTTCCAAACCAGATTGACTTTCTGTTTTCTGTTGAACACAAAGGACATACTGAAGAATGTTGGGAAAAAAACAGCCATTGACCTCCATAGTATTTCTGTTGCTATTGATGTCAATGGCTGCATTTCCCAACATTCTTCAGAATTTCTTCATTTGTGTTAAAAAACACTTGAATGCGAGTAAATGGTGAGAAAATGTCCGTCTTCTGTCTTAAGCAAATTCTATTCTGATCTAGCCATGGACTCTGGTGTTTTCCAGTGTGGTCTCCATAAAATCAAAATTGGACCTTTTTGACATTTAGTAAAATCTGTTGGCTTGAACTACAACTATATTATAGTGGAGACCTTAAAGATTACTGAACTGTAACCTTTCATTATAATTTTTGTTTTTCTTGCCAGAATTTATGTTTTTCTTTTAATTTCTTATGCTCATCAAGGCTGGATTTTTAGAAGAGCCCCTATTTGTCATTATAATAGGTCATGTTTTGGTTTTGGGGGTCTCCAATAACAGGCTGATTTGGGTGCAAGGTCAAAAAAAACTTTCATTGTCTTGTAATATGCATTTATGTTTACCTAATTATCCCAACGACTACCAAATGATTCGTTCAGCAACTCATTTGTTTCCAAACCCCTTCTATGCGGGAGGCTAATCTGAGCTGATTGGTCCAACAATCCAGTCTGTTGTCATTGGTTGATTGGGTTCAGCGCGAAAAATGTCCCCCACGGCTATGAAGCAGCAGAGAGTATGTGAGAGCCCAATACAGGAATGCAAT